TTGGTTGCTTCTGATCTCATTCGTGGAGTTCTGATCGTTTTGGTCCCTCTCTAGAACATCTTTCAGTAGCCTGTGTAAGGTTGGTTTTGTCATCGCGAAATTCTTTAGCTGTTCTTTGTCATGGAAGTATTTCATTTCTTCATCAATTTGAAATAGAGTTTTGCAGGGTATAGTAGTCTGGGCTGGAATTTGTTTTCATAGAGGACCTGAAGTACTCTGCTCCATGCTCTGCTTGCCTGATCTGACAAAACCATTCCAGCTCCATGTACATGAAAGCAAAGGCATCAAAAGGGGTCCTAACCCCAATTCTTGGGGCCCTGGAAAAGACCTATAGCATACCTGTCTAACCTATAGCATACCTGTCTAAGAGACTAGACCCCACTGCGGCAGGTTGGCCAAACTGCCTGCGAGCCATAGCTGCCACTGCCATTTTGACAAAAAAAGCTACTAAGCTCACGTTTGGCCAGGAGCTCCAAATTGTGGCTCCTCACGCAGCTGAGAGCCTTCTTAGAAGCCCTCCTGAAAGATGGCTCTCAAATGCACGGATTGTACAATATCAAGCTTTGCTCTTAGACCCAGCCCGTATTAAGTTCTTGTCCACTACAGCCTTAAACCCAGCCACCTTGTTACCAGATGGTGACCCTGAGGCCCCGCTCCATGACTGTCTTGAGGTGCTTGATGCAAAAACAAGCCTGAGAGAGGACTTCACAGACATTCCTATGGACAATCCTGATGATACCTTGTACACCGATGGAAGCAGTTTTGTCCTAAATGGGGTACATTATGCTGGGGCAGCAATGGTCACAGAAGACCAAGTGATCTGGGCCCGAGCCTTGGGACATGGGACATCTGCCCAACAGGCAGAGCTCATTGCCTTAACCCAGGCCCTCTGCTGGGGACAAAATAAGCAGGGAATCATCTACACTGACAGCAGGTATGGTTTTGCTACCCTACATGTACATGGAGCTATCTATCAAGAACGAGGTCTATTAGCCACTGGTGGACATAAGATCAAAAATGCCCAAGAGATCCTGGACTTGCTTGCAGCTGTGTGGCTCCCTGAGAAGGTGGCAGTTATCCACTGCCAGGGACACCAGAAGGTAAACTCTCCAGTGGCCTGAGGAAATGCTCTGGTAGATGCCACAGCCAAGAAAGTGACACAAAAACCAGTGGGGCCACTCAGGGCACTCTTGCCTGTCCTGCCACCCAGAGTGCTGGATCAGCCCACTTACTCTGATGCAGATCTTTTGTTGGCTAAAAGCTTAAAAACCACGCCAACACAGGATGGCTGGCACATGCTGCCGGACAGCAGGATTCTCCTTCCTGAGGCACTAGGCCAAGAGCTCATTCAACAGATACACCAAGGGGACTTACTTGGGAGGAAATAAGTTGGTTAAACTGTTACAAAAATCCTACTTCATACCCAAACTGAATCAAATGACTAAGGAAACCACCCAAAGGTGTCTCCGCTGTGCCCAGGTAAACCCCAGCAAGATCCCTCTAAACCTGGACAGCGCGCTCGAGGTATGTCTCCTGGGGAACGCTGGGAAATTGATTTCACTGAAATGGGTCCAGGAAAAGGAGGATATCGCTACTTCCTTGTTTTAGTGGATACCTTTACTGGATGGACAGAGGCCTATGCCACCTGATCAGAGTCAGCTCTGATAGTGACAAAAAAGTTATTGACAGAGATTATTCCCAGATTTGGCCCGCACATTACTATGGGGTCCAACAATGGTCCGGCTTTTATAGCCCAGGTTACCAAAAGTCTGTCCCAGGCCCTAAAATTAAAATAAAAACTACATTTTACATATAGACCTCAGAGTTCAGGTCAGATTAAAAAAAAAATCATACTCTAAAAGAAACCATTTCAAAACTAGGGTTAGAGACTGGCAAAAACTGGGTGAGTCTCCTTCTTTTTGCTTTATTACAAGCCCGCTGTACTCCCTATGTACATAGGATCACTCCCTTTGAATCTATGTATGGTTGGGCACCTCCCTTAATCCCCAAACTGGGGGAGGAAATCCTGACATCCATTTCTAATCAGGAACTTGTTAAGTCCTTACAGGCTCTACAGTCTACTCTACAGGCTACACACTCCCTCTTCCACCATCAACATTCAAGACCAGAACAACTTGACAGTCCACTGGCTCCAGAACCTGGCTCTCTGGTGTGGATAAAAAAGTGGGATCCATTCACATTGGGACCTCGCTGGGTAGGACCTTATCCTGTCATCCTGAGCACGCCCATCTCGGTCAAGGTAGCTAAAAAAAAAACTCACTGGATTCATCACACCCATGTTAAGCTGGCTGTACTGGAGGACAACTCAACAAGATGGTCAATCAAAAAGACACCCGATCCACTCAAGGTCAAGTTAGTACGCCAGGATACAGGCCTGGCCTAACTTTCTTTTCAGTTCTTATTATACATTATGTAATCCCTAAATTTCATGTGCTGTCAGCCATACCTGCTGTGTTTCTAATTAATTCCCATGATAACATGGGTACGAATGACAAACACTCTTAATTTGTCAACGTTCTGCTTGGAACAAGCCTGAAATCTTCAATATGTTCTGGGTTCATGCCTAAGACCAGTGTGCAAGCCTGCAGAAGATATTAGAAATTTAACCTTTTTATAATACATTTCTAAACCTGCCCCATATTATGACTTGGCTAACTGGGGACTTGTCTCATGTGATGTACCACCTGGGGCCCTGCATTTTGTTACCCCAAAGACTGTAGTTACTTTAAATGAAACTTATATGCAATTTGTAAACTGTACTGAAAAAAGTTGTCACCGATTGTCAGAGTTTCTAAATTGTTCTAGTCTTATAAAGTATCCATATATAACTGGTAATATCTTATTACCCACTAGATGGTTTTTAACATGCAATGGACATACTTTTAACTATATCCCAGCTTATGTGGATGGAGTCTCCTGTTGTTTAAACAGGCTGACCGTAATTCTTCCGTCTCAAGATGATTTGATGCTACCCCATTCAAAGACATCATCACCCCGCAAGAGGAGAGAAGTTTCTAACATCCCTCTCCCTCCTGGCTGTAATGATAAAGTTACCTTCCTGTCTGATGCAGAAGCCTAT